TGCAAAAATGAGGGGGTTAGTTAAACAGAAATTAAAAGGTACAGTGACTAAAGTGAAATCCCTGCAAGCTGCATGGGCGATTTTTAAAGACACCATAATAGAGCCCCAACTTCAATGCATACCCCAAATTAAGAAACATGGTAAAAAAACTAAAAAAGAGCCACCGTGGCTTAACAACCATGTAAAAGAAGCAGTGAGAGATAAAAGGATTTCCTTTAAAAAGTGGAAGTCAAATCCTAGCGAGGTAAATAGAAAGGAGCATAAACACTGCCAAATTAAGTGTAAAAATGTAATAAGAAAAGCCAAAGAGGAGTTTGAAGAACAGCTAGCCAAAAACTCCAAAGGTAATAAAATGTTTTTTAAGTACATCAGAAGCAGGAAGCCTGCTAAACAACCAGTGGGGCCCCTCAATGATAGAGATAGAAAAGAAGCGCTTAAAGACGATAAAGTCATTGCGGAGAAACTAAACAAATTCTTTGCTTCAGTTTTCACGGCTGAGGATGTTAGGGAGATTCCCAAACCTGAGCCGGCTTTTGTAGGTGACAAATCTGAGGAATTGTCACAGATTGAAGTGTCACGAGAGGAGGTTTTGGAATTAATTGATAAACTTAACATTAACAAGTCACCGGGACCAGATGGCATTCACCCAAGAGGTCTGAAAGAACTCAAATGTGAAATTGCGGCACTATTAACTAGGGTTTGTAACCTGTCCTTTAAATCGGCTTCTGTACCCAGTGACTGGAAGATAGCTAATGTAACGCCAATATTTAGAAAGGGCTCTAGAGGTGATCCCGGCAATTACAGACCGGTAAGTCTAACATCTGTACCGGGCAAATTAGTCGAAACAATAGTAAAGAATAAAATCGTCAGACACATAGAAGAACATAAATTGTTGGGCAAAAGTCAACATGGTTTCTCTAAAGGGAAATCGTGAGTTCTTTGAAGGGGTCAACAAACATGTGGACAAGGGGGATCCCGTGGACATAGTGTATTTAGATTTCCAGAAAGCCTTTGACAAGGTCCCTCAGCAAAGGCTCTTATGTAAATTAAGTTGTCATGGGATAAAAGGGAAGGTCCTTTCATGGATTGAGAACTGGTTAAAAGACAGGGAACAAAGGGTAGGAATTGATGGTAAATTCTCAGAATAGAGAGGGGTAACAAGTGGTGTTCCCCAAGGGTCAGTCCTTGGACCAATCCTATTCAACTTATTCATAAATGATCTGGAGAAAGGGGTATAAAGTGAGGTGGCAAAGTTTGCAGATGATACTAAACTGCTCAAGATAGTTAAGACCAAAACAGACTGTGAAGAACTTCAAAAAGATCTCACAAAACTAAGTGATTGGGCAACAAAATGGCAAATGAAATTTAATGTGGATAAATGTAAAGTAATGCACATTGGAAAAAATAACCCCAACTATACCTACAATATGATGGGGGCTAATTTAGCTACAACAAATCAGGAAAAAGATCTTGGAGTCATCGTGGATAGTTCTTTGAAGATGTCCACACAGTGTGCAGAGGCGGTCAAAAAAGCAAACAGGATGTTAGGAATCATTAAAAAGGGGATAGAGAATAAGATGGAAAATATATTATTGCCCTTATATAAATCGATGGTACACCCACATCTTGAATACTACGTACAGATGTGGTCTCCTTATCTCAAAAAAGATATACTGGCACTAGAAAAGGTTCAGAGAAGGGCAACTAAAATGATTAGGGGTTTGGAGAGGGTCCCATATGAGGAGAGATTAAAGAGGCTAGGACTTTTCAGCTTGGAAAAGAGGAGACTAAGGGGGATAGGATAGAGGTATATAAAATTATGAGTGATGTGGAGAAAGTAGATAAGGAAAAGTGATTTACTTATTCCCATAATACAAGAACTAGGGGCCACCAAATGAAATTAATAGGCAGCAGGTTTAAAACAAATAAAAGGAAGCTCTTCTTCACACAATGCACAGTCAACTTGTGGAACTCCTTGCCTGAGGAGGTTGTGAAGACTAGGATTATAACAGCATTTAAAAGAGAACTGGATAAATTCATGGAGGTTAAGGCCATTAATGGCTATTAGCCAGGACGGGTAAGGAATGGTGTCCCTAGCCTCTGTCTGTCAGAGGGTGGAGATGGATGGCAGGAGAGAGATCACTTGATCATTACCTGTTAGGTTCTCTCCCTCTGGGGCACCTGGCATTGGCCACTGTCGGTAGACAGGATACTGGGCTAGATGGACCTTTGGTCTGACCCGGTACGGCCTTTCTTATGTTCTTATGTTCACTTCCACAGAACCTTCTTTTTTCATGCTTCAGTAACCCGCCTGCCCCATAATCAGTAGACACCCAGCTGCTTGGCACAGAACATTTAATAGCAGGCTGATTTTTAGCTCCAGATCTAAAGCCCATTGAGGTGAATGGAAAGACTCCAATGAGTTTTGGATCAGCCCCATAAGGAGATCTGAGATTACAAAGCCTTAATCACTGTAGCAAAATAAAGCCTGACCAGCATGCTGCTCTGTTCAGCTGCTGCTGCTTTGGTGCTAGTTTGTTCTGGTAGTGCTATTCACACACAACGGAGGCCCGGAAGTGTTCTCAGCACAACTAAACGCCCACCGGGGAATGAATGAAGCCTACGGTGTGAGGCAGCAGCAGTCATTAGCTGTGTGTGTTTCTTTGCTCATTTAGACAGTAAGCTAATTGAAGCTGGAAGTGTCTCTTCTATGTGTTTGTACAGTGCCTGGCACAATGGGGCCCTGACCCAGGCAGAGGCCACTAGAGTCTCCTGCAGTAATAATATTTACAAATAAGCAAGGGGGTCTTGGGTGTGCGTACAAACTAGTGAAATTCTAATGCTTTGCGCAGCTAGTCCCCATTATTAAAGGCCTTCCATTTTTCTTCACAGTTCCTTTCCTTGGGTTTGCATTCTTTCAAACCTTTGTCTTGTTCTTGCTCCCTCTTGCTTTTATTCCTTCCTCTTGCGTCACCAGCTCTTCTTTCCTCTCGCTCAACCGCGCGTATTGGCTGGCAAGGCCAACTCTTTCTTTACACGCCTTTCCAGGTCACCCTTGTTGAGACAAGAGACTTTCTCTCCTCATGGCTTCATAAAATCTAACAAACACTGTCGTCATTTATATTTGAAACCACAGCACCTGAATGCCAGCTGCCTGACTGCCTGTGCATGCTAACCTGGTGCTAAATATTGCTACAAGCAGCCATTGCTAAGGTTACAAATGCACACCATTCTACAGCAAAAACTCCTTCGTGAGTACTTCATGGTTGCCTTTCCCAGGGATCGGTTCCAGGCTGAGCATGTGTCTTAGATTGAAGAAATGCACTCTTTCAGCTCTGCTCCATTGAGCCAACTACAGCTCAGTGTCTGAAACACTTTAAAAGACACTGCACAGCAAACTTCAGGCTTTTTTGCTTTACCGTACCCTGGGCCATTGTGCCCCTGTCCCTTCCAGGTCCCACAAAGCCCATCCTCGTTCCTACACATGATGTGACACGATGAGACCCGAGCAGCTCGGCAATTCAGTATGACTTTATTGAGAAAGGGAAGGTTAGAAAAGCAACAGCATTTTGGTGCCTGCCTGAGGTGCTGTACGCGGAGCAGAGGAGGCACTTGGGTGGGAATGTAAGAGAATGGCCCCTTTTCCGCATGGTCTGCTCGCTAACCAAAGCCATCCGTCGCTGTAGTGGAGCGTGAACACCATCAGAACAGCCATCTTTCCCTCAACAGAGGCAATGGAAGGGAATCAGGGACGCCCCCTATTTCTGCAGCACGCACACTCATTGTTAGTTCGTTCCATCGTTAGTTCATTGGGGATGTGACCGAGAATCTAATAAAGCTATAGGCAGGGGTGAGGGCCGGCTATTCCCTTTGTAGCCCAACCATCTCTCATTATCCACAGCTGCCTTGGGGAGAGTCCTTCTCCCAGAGCCTCTCCTGGGACAGTGTCCACAGGAGGGGATGAGCCGGCTTCCTGCACTGGCTCCCCATGCACAGCACTGCTGGGGGGAGAAGAAAACTGCAAGTGTGGAAACAGGAACTTGCACACCCAGAGTGAAACCAAACAACACCACCACAGGTCCCCTATTGTACTTTACATCCAGAAAGCCTGTACAGACAGTAACTAGCTAACCCACCCCCCAGACAGACAGGCAGACAGTAACTAGCTAACCCGCCCCCCAGACAGACAGTAACTAGCTAACCCACCCCCAGGGCCGGCTCCAGGGTTTTGGCCGCCCCAAGCAGCCAAAACAAAACAAACAAACAAAAAAAGCCGTGATCGCGATCTGCAGCGGCAATTCGGTGGGAGGTCCTTTGCTCCCAGGCGGAGTGAGGGACCGTCCGCCGAATTA